AAAATGTATGAAATAAATATTTGTGTAAAAATGTCTCGAAACGCCCAATTTATTTCAAAGACATCTTTAAAATTCACACAAAATTAAATGTTTGCAGCTATAGTTATAGCTTTCAAAATTACAAGACTTACGTACTTGTAGATAGATTAACATTTAGAAACATTTTTAAACCTGAAGCCTTTTTAATTGCCTGAATTCATTAACCGTATCATATTTAGGATAGTTTGAGTTCATCTGTGTGTGTTTGTCACACACCACCACATACTTTTTTTCGAGTTTTCCCGTCACTTGTGTGTATTTGAAAATTATAAATAACTTGAAAAAATCGAACTGCCTAAGGAGGGAATTGAACCCACGACCTTCCGCTTAAAATTAGTTTGAGATGCGACTTAACGCTAAAAAATAAATAACTTGTGTGTATGTCACTCACACAACCACAAGATAAAGAGCGTATAGCTATATCCGTTAAATCTCGAGTGTCCTACTGACGTGGGAGTGGCCGGGTAAATTGGATTTGCTCGCATTAGAGCGTTTGCTCGGGTATCGGCGATTGGCTGATAAAATAATGTTTTAGGTGTGTCTCTGTGCAAAGAGATTTTAAATTAGGACTCTAATGAAAGGGGAGTGAGTAATCAACTAGATTTTGACAAAGCCTGACCGACAAATCGTTATGTTGAATACAATAGTACCTACTTCGATATCTTCTTTAAAGTTTTATATTGGTAGCTAGCTTAGTTTCATTAGAGATACATTAGGCTTTAATAAGGCTCGGAAAAAATGATTAGGTTAGATTTTAATTAAATTTGGAATTAATCTGCTCGACACGTAGACGACTAGCATAATGTAGTATTTGCGCAGAATTTTAAGTAAGCCTATCGCCATTATTGACTAAGTATTTTTTTAATTTTAATTAAATATTCATAGAAAAGCTACATAAAAACTCAACCCAAACGCAATCATAATACTTACTTAGCTTATTCCTGAGTTACGTAGGTCCTACAATACGTGCCTAAAACTCATTCTAGCGGTGAACGTGGAACTATTTCGTGTAAAAATGCTTCCGAAGCAGCGCGCAGCGGCCGCAGACAATAGCACAATGGTCGACGCTTCGACGCAGCATTTACACCCAACTAGACAAAACAACGAGCGCAGAGCTGAAAGCATCCGCTGGGGCACGGTTTCTCAAACTTATAACTCCATGTTACCCCTATAATATTTTAATAACTTTTTATAAACTCGGGGCTAAAGGTGTCTATGGGGGGTGGTAATCATTAACAATCACATGATCCGTTTGATTCTGTCCCATAAAAAAAAAACCTTCAAAAACAACAACTTTGCTTCTAGTTTGGTTATGACTCAACGCATGAATCAACCTGAATGTCTGAAAAAGAAATACGATTTTGTGCTATAAAGGGCTGTTTAAGCCGTTACGACGTCGGTCTAGCACTAGGGTCGACTTCCGAAGAAATGCACCAAGCGTATTACAAAACTAAAAAAAAAAAACTCATAAAACTCATTTATTTTTGCAAATAGACTTATAAAAAGCACTTTTTTAACTGTCGTATTTTCAGTTTTGCCTCAAACCCTTTACAATCACTGATGAATCCCTTGGGGGTTCACGTACCCCAGTTTGAGAAACCATACGCTGGAGCTTAAGGATTAAATATCACTTTTAACTTTTCTCTTGTGTGTTAAACTTACGTGATAGTTTCAACGTTGCGACATTGTGGAAGTCTGTACTGTAACTCTATTAGCCTGTGTCAAGATATAGATTTTGATGATAAAATGTGGAAGACTATAGTTATTTACTAATAAGAACATTCGTATGATCTGTATTTTTCCTGCTATGCTTTGGAGATCCTTCAGGAATATCTTGCATCTAATCTTTTACATTTCAGCAGCATTACTACGGCAAAGAATATCAAATAAAAGCGCTACTCTGCCAAATTAGTTCTCAGTATGCATATTATACGTTGTCTACCCCAGATATTGGGGATTTCCTCCTAAGATTTACAGGGTATTGCTTTATAAATTGACTTTCCCCTTTGGCTCCCGTGTTGGGAGGCACGTAAATTCTGCCAATAAACAGTTTAAGATCACGTATGTCAATATTGTTTAAGAAATACGACGGGAACGGGCATAAAGTCGACTTCTTGAATGGGACCCCGTTTTAGGGCGCGACGACATTGTTCGCAGCGGAGATAACGCCAATAGCACACGAATGGCCTTTTTGGTTAAATGATCGTTTGTTTTTTTGTATCTTAAATAAACATCGTTATATAAAATTCGGGATCGGTACCCTTATTTGCTGTTTAGTTGGCTTAATATTAGTATCCAGTACTTATTTATTTTATGGGACCTTTACAATATATTGTCTAATATTCTTGCCCTTGGACGAATAAACCACTGGACACGAAACCTACAAGATTTCTAAGGAAACACGATCAACCACTTTTTGCGGGGGGAGAGGTTTGACAATTGTCAANTTTTGAGTAATAATACAAGATTGCCGTTAAACCGAACACCAGGACCCAATCACAGTGTTCTATTCGGTTAACGTCAGTCACGCTTCGACCATGGGGGAGGTGAGATAGGTCGATTGTCACTCCGCGAAAAAAATACGTAGCTTTTTGTGATTGTCCATAGACATACCGTCGCTTGCTTGAATAATATTTTCTACCTCTAAAATTTAAACAATTTAATTGAAACTTTGCCATTGAAAACTTAACATGTTAGACTTATTTGTGTAGTATTCGACTTGAACCGTTAAATTCAAATTTAAGGATAATTCATAAAAAACTAAAATTTTCGTCACCTTCGTGGCATCACCTTCGTGGTGTTTTATACACGAAGGTGATTTTAGGCCACGAAAGTGATTTCTTGCTTTCTAATAAATTATACGTGGTAAAGTAGAGATCAGTACATCAATAAATAAACAAAAGGGCCTCGTATTTTTGTTGTCTGTCTGTACGACTGTATGTATGTCTGTATATGTGACTGTGTATCTGTTTGTAAGATAAATTNATTAATAATTATTTTAGTTACATTACGTATAAATATATCTCAAAGAACATAAATACGTAGGTCTAGCTACCTAGCATCTACTCTTGGTGGCCATCGTCAACATCCTCCCCCCTAGTGACGGTTCGACCGTATCGTTAATCGCGTCGCGACTCGCGGATGAGGTTGGACTGCACGGAGCGCCTAGGCGGCATCGGCAGACGCGTGGGGCCCGAGTGGGGGCGGCTCGTGCACACCGAGTGCGAGTGAGCCCGCGCTATCAGCCAGCGCGTCGGCGTCGCTATGCGCGCGGGGCCCAACTGGGGCCTGTTCGCACGCAACGAGTGCGAGCGGGACCGCGCTACCGGCCAGCGCGTCGGTATTATTACAACAGGCGGCGACGGTTTGAGTTAGTTCACGGGATTCAAAACACAAGTTTGTGGTAAAGCAAACAGATGAATCAATTACCTTTTTTGTTGTCCCGTGCAGGCACCATCCTAGGCACGTCTTTGTCATGTATGGCTCACCTGGTTTTCCCCTTATGCATTCAATAGGAGCAATTAGGTCGCAATTATCTTGCCCGATTAACAACATAGGCTGGGCATTACACTTACACAAATCGATATTTACACAATTATATTTACAAAAATCAACATTATGTACACTTTGCAATGGCAAATTGAGCTTAGATATCTTTCTAGCTTGTAAACTAAAACGCTTATTGTCCCTATTCGCGATTTCAAAGTTCACTATCTCCGTCTCACATGATAGTTCATTGTCCCATGCACCACGAGCGCGCATGGTATGAGGCGCTCCGTGCAGTCCAACCTCATCCGCGAGTCGCGACGCGATTAACGATACGGTCGAACCGTTTTATTCGTCCAAGTTCTTGCCTTATTAGTATACTGAAGCCCTAGCACTCCGAGCGATTCTTCGATCGTGTGGTCCTTCAGCAGCGCTTTAAAAACGCATGTCCCAAGGATCATCCATCAGTCAGCTGACGTCACTCAATGACCTTTCTTTTGTTCCAGGTGGCAGTAACAAATAGAATGTCGTCAACAGTGCGCAAATAGTGTGAGAGTGTGTGCGCGCGATGGGTGGGCGGTAGCGCGCTGGCATGGAGGAGGACGAGCGGCGGCTGTCGTTCCCGCCGCCGGCGCCGCTCAACTCGCCCGGCGAGGAGATCGACGGCTCGCGGCTGCTCGGCGAGATCGTGCGGACGCTGGAGGCCACCAACCCCGAGGCAGCCGCGCCGCTGGTCGCGTCCCAATCCCGCGATGCGCTCGATACGGAGTGCGAGAAGCCGCGCCGCGAGGAGCTGCGGATCCCGCTGGAGGGCGTCACGTTCGCGAGCGAGACGGGCGGCGGGACGCGTGACGAGCCGCGGGCGGCCGTCACGCCGTTCACGCGGGAGTCCGCGCGGCGAGCGGGGTCCCGCGGGGCGCAGCTGGTGCGCGAGTTCGGCTTCATGCCGCGGCGCCGGCTCAGCGTGGAGGACGGCGCGCGGCTGCCGAGGAAGTACGAGCCGTTCCCGCCGAAGCTGTACGGCCGCCCGCTGGAGGAGATCGACAACTTCATTTACGATGAGGTGAGTTCTTTGCCAGGTATCAACTTTTCTTTTGACGTGTCTTACACTCTTCTCACAGAATGTCTTATTTATTGTAAGTACGAGTATGTTTAGGGTAGGTAGGTATGCATATTTACATAAGGCTGATAAGCTACCTGTGTCAGCATCAGGCTGTCGGTAAGATCCTAGTCACTATTTCCCTTGTTGGACTGTGTTGGTGAACCCACTTTTAACACAGCCATAATACTATGTATCTTAGCTGGAGGTATACCTTAACGGGAATAATTGTAAATAGGTAAGTAGGCACTTTTAATAAACCTTTAAAAAAAAACTGATTTGACGCGGCTCAATTGGATGGCAGACGGATCCATCGTCTAACCAATAATATTGATAAGAATCTTAACGGGCGGCCGTCACGCCGTTCACGCGGGAATCCGCGCGGCGAGCGGGGTCCCGCGGGGCGCAGCTGGTGCGCGAGTTCGGCTTCATGCCGCGGCGCCGGCTCAGCGTGGAGGACGGCGCGCGGCTGCCGAGGAAGTACGAGCCGTTCCCGCCGAAGCTGTACGGCCGCCCGCTGGAGGAGATCGACAACTTTATTTACGATGAGGTGAGTTATTTGCCAGGTATCAACTTTTCTTTTGACGTGTCTTACACTCTTCTCACAGAATGTCTTATTTATTGTAAGTACGAGTATGTTTAGAGTAGGTAGGGCCTGCATATTTACATAAGGCTGATAGGCTACCTGTGTCAGCATCAGGCTGTCGGTAAGATCCTAGTCACCATTTCCCCTATTAGACTGTGTTGGTGAACCCACTTTTAACACAGTAGTACTTATTTATCTGAAAATATTAGTAAATAGGTAGGTACTTATAATTAATCTTGAAAAAAAAACTGATTTAAATTGAGGCTTGATGCTTTAAAATATTCAGTCCAATATTAGTATTTGTATTAATGTATGTAAAAATGGCCTAGCTTAATCTACTTATTGCTAAGCGCATAGTATAAAATCATATCTAGAACGAGTCAATGATAATTATTCATATAAATAACTAGCTGACCCGGCGAACTTTGTTCCGCCTTAATGGCAATAAATAAGCAGACTTTTTTTTATTTCGAACGGGATAAAAAGTATCCTATGTCCTTCTCCTGGCTCTAAACTACCTCCCTGACAATTTTCAGCTAAATCGGTTCAGCCGTTCTTGAGTTANGGTTCAGCCGTTTTTGAGTTATAAGTGGAGTAACTAACACGACTTTCTTTTATATATATAGATATAGATTTAGAATGTTTTTCGTATGACTGTTTGACCTGAATAATATATTTTTCTAAGTTAACTATGAGTGGTCCCAGTTGCCGGAACAATATTATTTAATTTTTACGGATCCGGCCACTGGGACCGCGGTCCCAGTTAATTACGGTCCCATTCGCCGGAAGCCTCATTAAATTGGATGGCAGACGGATATCGTCAGCCAATAGTATCCATAAAAAATCTCCGATTTCCAACGACCATATAGATATTTTAACTCGCTCAAAACCCAACAAAGTCATCTCCAATACCGCGCACTAAAAGCAGTTACATTCCGCCCAGCGCCATCCGCCCAAAGCGCCATCCCGCCCATTATGTCGTCAATCCGCCCGCCTTAATCACTCAAACCCGACTGTAATGCAATTCTTTGTGCGCTACCTCTTTGTGCAGCCTGCGAAGCTGTTGCACTTGATAGTGCATTTCGCTGTAGGTTATGCATATTGTACGATGAATGAAGGTGATGGATAATAATTTGGAGCATCATTGCAATGGAAAAGCTTCTATAGATTAATTATCATCATCAGGTTATTAAGCCTCCACTGCAGAAGTACGCCCTCTCTTTAGCAGACTCCCACACCGTAGGTAGAGTAATAAGGGTGGATTGCACCACCAATCTTTAACGGTAACTATGACGATAACCGGTGCTTTTTGTATGGAATTTGACAGATTTTTGACGTTTGTCAAAGTTAAAGTAAGATGGTGCAACCCAGCCTAAAATATTATTTTAATAGAAACTACGGAACTACGGGACTATTCCCACCTATCTTTCCCACCGCCGCAACTCCTGTGTAGCCAGGATCTACAGCCTGACCGCCAATAAAAACCCAATTTAATAGAAACTACAAATAATTCTAAGAATTGTGGCAAGACTAATTTGCATAATATTATTATTCTTTGAAAAAGTATACGTATACCTACACGTTTTTAAGTGTTTCCTAGACGTATGGGGTTAAATATTTTTTTATGCTTAACAAGGCAGGTATTTGACCGCAATTGCAACTGGTGTTAAGTGAGATGCAGTCTAGGATGGTACATTTCTGCCCTGTAAGTCATTAGGTTAGATAGAAGTAATATTATTATGTGGTAGGTTGTTATTTACTAGTTATCAGTGTTCACACTGGCGTTGATTCGAACAACGCAACACATCATACGGATACATAAGCGCAGTATGTTTGTAAATAAATAATGTCGCAACTCGCGCAGAGGCGCAATGCGTCGTATTTACACGCTATAAACCTATAGTTCTTTCTTCAAGCCTTAATTTTGCCTAAGATTAGGCTACTGAGCTGCAGTTACAATCCAATATGGCGACGTAAAGAAACAAAGTCGTAAAACTATAAGTCGCTCCATTACGCTGTCAATCCGCCCAGCGCGTAATAACTCAACCCCGTTCGTAATAAAATTCTTTGTACGCTCTTTTTATGGACTGAATTTCAGCTTACATCCTATGTCATTTGTATAAAACATTATTCACTTACATTATAATAGTAGGTATTTCTCGATCCATGGATCTGCGGTTGTTTGGAAATATTTTAAACAGCTTTAGCTCTTCCAAACTGAATAATGGCAACTCGATACGATTTGCTTCATTAAAGATTAATAATAGCCACAAAATGGGAGACAAAAAAGACGATAAGATACTTTGTAGCTGATATTAAGGATAAAGAGTCTTTTAATTACTGTCGTAACCAGACTCCATTAATCCCGTTAACCTAAACAAGGCAATACAAATCCTCTTTTACTTTATAGCAGACTACCGCAAGCATCAATCTCAAATTGCACACTCAAAATCACACTACCAGTTTAAGATGACCTCTGCATTTTCTTAACTGTTCCTCCTCATAAATGGGTTTCGGATGGAAGGTAGAGGCGAGGCAGGTCAAGACAGACTGGCATGTTGACCGTTTGATGGCAGCTCGCAAGTGGTACACGGAACGACGCCGTAAAATATAATGACTGGGACATAAATGACCAAAGGTTTATTGCATTTTGTAAAGGCTAACTGCGCTGGAAGTTGTTTAAATTCCGATTACACACGTTGGGTAGTGTCAAGAGAAAGCTAAACAAATACGAGTTGAAACAAACTTGTTGAGGACGAAGTCTCGAGAGTCTAGACAATACGTGTTTCTTGGAAGTCGTATAGACGCTATTTAGATAGTATAGCGGTGTAGCGGGACGTCGTGTAAAAATGCCGCAGACGAGCGAACTTTGGGATAAGTTTTAACAGTGTACGCTGAAACGGTAAAATATAAGGCCATATAGCTTAACATTCTTTGAAAATAGAAACATAGCGAAACACATATTAACACATTTTACACATTTTTATTAATATTGACTCGCTTTGGAGTTTTGGGCTGACACTGAAGAAGAAGAAGAAAAAAAAGTGACTCGCTATTGTGGTTTCTTACGTAATTTACTAATACAACGCGACAAACGCGACTCTACGCGACACTAGCTCGACGAGTGCGATCAAACCAACAACAGCACTGTGACGAGATGCGAGCTAACATGTACACGAGCCGCGTTTCGTAGCGTTATGTAGCGTCCCGTAGCGTTTATCGCTGAAAAGCCGCGTAAAAGCGGTCTGAGCCTTTAAGCTCTACTCCAAAGTTATCAACCGGTGTACTACCTCGCAAACATCGTTGGGCAGGTGACCGTGCTATCAGATCTGATAACCGTAACTTGTTGAGTCTGGGATTACCGGCGAATCCACTGGTTTGAAACAATTTAAAGGTATCTGACTAGCGATTATATTGAAGGGATCCTAGGCACAGGAATTATTTCTTACATAGTATTCTCTAAAAATCATATCTCTAACTTTATGATTGACTTCATATCAGACGTCTAAATTAGCAAAAAAGCTTAACGTGCTTTCCGAAACCTGCATAATGCAACATTACCTATGCTTTGTTTTAGACATATAAATACAGCTTAGGTATTAGGTATAGTGTAGAATTTCTGCTGTTAATAAACAATCTGGGTATAAAACACTTTTTGTGTCACATCTGGAAATCCTGAATTCAGATTTAAGAGAGTACAAATCTGTAGTCCGGGGTACGGGGATCTGTAGATTTGTTTCAGTTTAGACCTTTGCGCATTAATAATTTCGCCTTAGAAATGATATGATATTTTCAACTGAAGAATCACGCTTCAAATAGCTTCAGGGCGCTTTCAATTTAGACGTTTCGTGTCGACGTTTGTCGCGCGCTTGCCGTTGCAAGGCCGCACACTAATTTACTGATAATAATTTCTTGCCAATTTTATTCCGACGCAGTTGTCATACAATTTACCGTGTGCGGGCAAGGCAAGGCAAGCGCGCGGCAAACGTCCGGCACGAAACGTCTAAATTGAAAGCGCCCTTAGCCCTTTCAGACAACTGTCAAAGAAATAGATGAAGCTTTTAAAGGCCTTCGACGTTTATTCGACGTAGAAGACCTTAGTACCTATCTATGATCTGATAAGTCCCAACTTGTTGAACGTTGGCCAGTCGGATAGCTTTGAAGTAGTTAATCTTCGTTGTATCGCTATTACGTACGGATTTATGCGATGTTTATCTTTAGTTCGGCACCCAATAGCTTCTACAACGCATTTAGTTTCATTGTTCTTGACCTTTTTATTATCTCACTTAGTTTAGGTTATGGCTGAATCTCTATTAAGGCTGATTTGCACCAACTTACTTTAACTGTGTTTTTTGTATGGAGTTTGACATATTTTTCACGTTTGTTAAAGTAAGATGGTGCAACCCAGCCTAAGGCTGAGTCTGAATATTTATATAACTGAGACTAACGTTAAATTATATCTGTCAAACTCCATACAAAAAACACCCGTTATCGTTATAGTTACGGTGAAAGCTAGGTGGTGCAACTCAACCTTATGCCCGTTTTCACCAACAATCCCAAATTTTTAAGTGACCCCTATAGTAACACAAAAAATCTAATCTACGTGTGGCACTGTCAAGGCCTCCACATTACATCTTATAACTTCGTGTTCTGGAAGTTACTATTAATCAAGAGACTGGTAGTTACTACTTAGTAGTTACTAGCGATGAATTCAATTATCAAATATCACATGGTAACATCCAAAATTCAATATCTTGGATTAGACACGCGTTAACAACTCGTTACATTAGCATAATAATGTTTGCGACAACTTCGAGCACAATGTAGGTATATCCAATTTATATGTATTATGTTCACTTAAGTTAGTAAAGCTTGTAAGTAAATGTAATAAAAAGTAAACTAAGTATTTTACCTGTCCAAGACGATGAGAATGTTATTGTGACTGATGTACTCAAAGTAAAGTT